GATACATTCCAACCATTTGCTATTTCTGATAGAGCGAAGAATCCAAAGAAGGAATTTTTCCTGACTGTCACGCTACAATTTTCGACAAACCAACCTATTTGTTGACTCGGAATCGCATGCCAGGAACCAATTAGGAAGTGCACGTGAACCAAAGATGATATTTCCTACTGGGTGACCGTGGCATCAAATGTTAAGATTGAAGCTGTCGACGATATTGACTCGCATGGGTGAATGACACATGTGACCGACATTTTCTTGTGTGTGTGTTTTTTAAAAATTTATAGGCCTTTCTATATATAAATGCTATATAGGTATATGCCGTATTTATGTTTTCCGATTGTGAAATAGAATGACTATATTATAGGCCTAACGGAATTGCGGTATGGTAACTGATTGTTTAATCTATATTTTTTGAAACAATTTTCTCCGTTTGAAATCGAATATGTATATATATTTAAATCAGTTTTAATTTTTTTAAATATAAATTTTATACGACTTAACAAATGAAGAATTTCTCTTCGTGTGGGATGTAATCGCATAACTTCATAACGGCAACAAACAAAAAGATTTTATTTCAAAATAATCAACAATCAATTAATATTTTATGTTTCAAAAACAAACGGCTTCCAACAAATGTCGTTTCAAAAGGTCCCATTTCAAATCATAAACAACTGCTCCTATTTTTAAAGAGAATATTAAGTTATAATTTTTTATTTTATAGGAAAAGTATGTAGGACGATACTGAAAAAAAATGATTTCTCTAATCTGTCCGAGTAACCAAACTGCGAGATCTTTTAAATTTCCAAGGATGAAACACGACGATAATGCTGTTTCGCTAGAAAAATATGTAGATAATGTTTCGCCAGGCTGTCAGTCGGTTGTTCTCATTGGACAGGTTAGTAAGCAAGGCAGGTGTCTATCGGCATTGGACCCGTGCCAACAAAAAAATAACGAAAAAGTAAAAAACGGCTATGGTAGTAGCAGCAGTCGTCCTTTTTTGTCATCGGACATCTAAGCGAACAAGATAGGACGTAGCAGATGTAAGCGTCGTTGACACAGCCGCACATTCCGTTTTATAGTTTCTACTCAACAAATTAAATCGTGCTACAAAGTCATTTAAATCCGGAACGGAAGATTTTTACCTTTTTGTCAACAAATAACAACTATTTATGAAATTCTAATGCCGTGAAGGCCGTGAACATTAATTGTTCTTTTAATATTCTTATTATATTTTATGAAATAATCCTATTAATTGAGTTTAAACTTTGATAAAAACCTCTGCAATTTCTTATACATCATTGATAGTCTATTAATATTCTAAGCGGTTAATTAATTTAATGGCGGGTAATCCAGGTTCTGTGTCCTATAGAAAAAAAAGTCTTTGATTATCAATTAATTTATCTTCGATTTGGTGGTATCAAGTGCTACCTATCAGCGGCGCATTACCCCGTGCGAACCGAACTAACTCGGCCGCACGCACGTGCATTGCAACCATCATCACCCCCTCCACAATAGTCACGCTTTCTGCTCATAATATCCCGAACAGGACAACGGCCTCTGGCCATTGCCAGCCTTGAAGCGTCGTGTTCAGTGACCTCACCGGGCCAGGATTATCCGGTAAACAATGCCTAATAGTCCAATGTCTATTTTGTATGTCGGGATCGATGCCTTCGTTCGGTGCCATCGGATGAGACGATACTTCTCGCCTTCGTCACACTAGAAACGTATGACGACGGCGGTTAAGTGGTTGAAATGATAACCTGTAGGCATACTTTTATGAGCTGTACTTAGGCGATAAAAAGTGTTTTTTGCCGTTCGAAACCATTTAAAATATTGCAGATAAAGAATTGGAACTCGTTCACTAACCGGTAGTTAACCGGTTAATTAGTTAAACTATGATTGATAAAGGTTAACATCGAAGTTAGTAGGATGTCGATGATGTTGATGAACGTGAGTTAGCGTGTTGATAAACACGATGAACATCGCCGAAAATATCGATAAACGTACTGAACATCGGTAAACAGCCGGTAAACGCACTTAACCTAATCACTTAGTAAATGCAATATTTCCGATTCAATTATTAATGAATAATGTTATTTGCATAATTTTTTTTATTAGAGAATTGTATGGACGAAAGGATACATTCAATTGACTTGTATTATGATCTAAATAATTACTAATGAGAGAAAATCTTGTGAACTACTCAACGTGAACGTTCTTAAGATGTTATCATTTTAAAGTTCCTAAGTACTCTGTGCGAAGAAATAAACTCTTCTATTAGATACAGATCCATTGTTTTCGTATTAAATCGATTAAAAGTCAAACGGGTATAAAATTATCAACTGAAATTTTACTAAACTACAAAGAAATCAGATTTATTTATTTATTTTATATAGGCGATAGTCGCTAAGACAATAACTGATATCTCCACCATACAACAAAAAATGAACGAATTTCATTAAAATATGTATTAAAATACAAAATAACAATAACAAATTTAAAAAATAATAAATTAATTGGAATAAGGAATAATGTATTAATTAAGCAGTATAAAATATTCTTTATAGATTAATTTATATAACCTATATGCAACTTGTTCTCCACTTTGTCGTCGACGGATTTATAATAACGGCTCTCAATAGTGTATGATTTTTGATAAAGATCGAAACGATATCAATGTCATAAAATTTTCTTTATAATTTCTTTCGTAATTAATCATACAATTTTACATTTTCTGTCTCTGTCGTTCTCACGAAAAGGCAGGAGAGGTAAACGGAAGGTTCAGAACACTCATACATTATAATAGAGTAATTGTATAATCTTATTTCTGGGAAAAGAATTCTAGTGGATTATATATTTTTTCATAGTTTTAAATTAGTTGTAATATTTTCATAAATTTGAAACCTTTGGCACACTATCAAATGTCCCAAGCGAAAGGTTAACCATTCAATATCTCATAACAAGACACATCGTATTTATAAAAGATTTTACAACTTGATTTTTATCAATTCTTTGATGTTTCAATCTTACACTTATGTATATAAGATATCTATACTGTGTATACATACGAAGGGCCTCCCAGAAGGTAAGGGGCCTGGGGCAAAATACATATTGGGGCCTATAGAAATTAAATTATTAAAGGAAGTAAACGAAAAAAAAAAAAACAATTATATATTTTCTTGCGGACCAGGGCAATTTTCTCATTTGCCTCCTCTGAGCATCCCAGTACATATATCTTATTATGGATTGTCGTAAGTTCAATTTGAAAAGGAGGAATTTAAAATTCTCGATATCTTTATTGAGTTTAATTTAATCAAAAATAGTAACTAATACGTGTCAATTGTATAATATTTAAACCGTAACAAACTCGGATGATATCGAGGAAGCAGAAACAGGAAAAAAATGTTTAATACTTAAAAAAGAAAGAAAGAAAACTGGAAAGAAGTGCACTTCCTCGAGAAGAAAGAGACATTACAACAGATAACATTACCGAAAAACTGTAAGGCAATATATGAACGATTACTCGAATTTTTGGAAGTTTTCCAACTGGCAAGTGCACTGTCCTGTTACTTTCTCTTCTCCCGATTCACTGACTTGTTAGGCTTAGTGGTTTCATCATCGACTTGCATGTTTGCCAACGTTTAACGGATCGATCGTACCTCCGATTATAAACGTCTGTTTTCGGATAATTTACTAATTCTATATTTGATAATATTCTCTTTTATACTTCTTTAATCATTTAGAAAGAAAATTGAAAAAAATAAATAATAAAATGCTGTATCGCGGATACACAGCCAGGACAGTTGTTGCTCGTGTGACGATGGCAATTTGTCTTTTGTTTCTTTCAGCACATACCGAATTATAAGTTTAAAAATTTTTATTTGCTTTTTATTGGGAGGAAAAAAATAATAACAATAAAAAAAGTTTCGTCACCACTAGACAAACGGTAGAAATGGAAATCAACTATTGACACCGGTCGACCAATCAATAGCGCTAGTCTGGTCGACTCGCAATTAAAGACAAAACAACAGCGTCACGTGACGTGCACGTTACCTAGGCAACTGAGGTAACATCGATTGCTGGGCCGAGATAAACAGAGTGGCTGATCAGTCTGTTCATTGCCGAGAGAAAGTTGAACAGCGATGCACCTGAAAAGTGTGCCGCTCCGCCGACATCCATCACTCGACGTGTTAAGGGCTTGCGCAATGAAATGCGAAAGGTGACGCGGAAATTACGTAAATGATGACATCATATCTGACGGTATACGAACACCATTTCAATTCGACCGATACCGTGTTATTACTGATGCAATTTTCTCAGTACTTTTTGAATTCGTTAGCGAGTCGCACTCGATGTCAATCAACTAACCTTAATGATAACTTTATTCCAAACGTCTTCGAAGTGACGGGAAATTCAGACGGCACACGTACGGTTGCTCACCTATATTTCAAATTTTTCTTCGACCGCATTTAAAAAATAAAAAGAAAAGGCGCGTAGTTATCAAGTGATTGTTTAGTCTGGTTCCGTCACATCAGAGCAGATGATGAGAGAGAGCAGTTTCTCCCCCTTTCTAAATCACCACCTGACGTTCCCTGTAATCGCTGCGGCATCTTCAAATTACCCACAATCCTTCGGTAGAAGGGCCGTGTAACCATGGCAACCACGACAATCCTTTTTCTTTCCCTAAAACAGCGTGGTAGCATTGTCGGAAGGAGATTCTTCCTCTAACCAAAAATTGATCCCGATGCTAAAAACTTTACCAGAATAAATATCATTTTTAAACATACTTTCATCGCTTAATAAATTGATGACGGGACAAAACCGATGACATTTTGCCGCTGACGTCACGAGCGCAAATGATTTGTGATTTTTTTTTCTTTCGACGAATTTAATTAATGTTATGGAAGAAATGTGCGTATGTCTTTCACGCGATCTTTTCCGATAGAGGAAAGGATATTCATTAATTAATTAATTAATTATTTTTATTTTACAATTTCCAGCTTTGCTGTCGCTATGGTGTGAAGACTTAGGTCGCCTTTTGCTGCTCCGTCATCAGAAAAACCGTGAGGGGGACCCGACCCTTCAACCACCCAACATGCATCAATCTGTACAGAAAAATCTACCTCCCGTTCCCCAAGGGTAAGTGATCTGACATTTGTACTTTCTTTCCCGCTTGTTTTTACTTCTCTACACGGATTAGATCTGAAAAAGTTCAAGAACAATTTGAGTCACCATCCTTTGTTTTTTTCGAACACCCTTCGATCGATTCAACAGATTCCAATTGACGATAGAAGAGTCCATACATTATCTCCTCCCGATCGCTGACTCACATCTGCGCTTTTGTCGCTCGCTGTCTGACAGCCAATTGGTCAATCAATGACACGTGACTCGACCATTATTCGTCCCCTATCGATGCAAATTTTCGAAAGTGCCATCTGTCGATTTTTTCGAGCTACTAAGAAGCAGAGAAAGATCGTGGTACGAAGACGTTATCGAGAGGGTGAGTCGAGACTCGTCACCTGTGCGGGGGCGTGTCTCCGAGCTATATTCTAAGGGGGGATGGCCTTCGGCTATGACGTAGCTCGATCGATGGCGGCGGAATCAACCATTCCGCCCACGTTACCCTTCTCCAGATGGGTGTAATGCGGACCGTAATCAACTCATTCGCTCGCTCGGACAAGTAACAGGTTGATATCGGAAACATTAAAATGCAAATTGGGAAGGAGCCGAATGAGTCACGTGCCCGGATGAAGGTTTTCATCCCCACCGACAGGGGTCATCGCCACACGTGTCTGGTGTCTTCAGCACGAGTGGGCGTTGTCCGCACCCGAACCCATGCGGTAACATAATCTCATTACCGGAATACAGCATGACAAGCCACTGCCCTTGGGGTTAGTTGGCTGTATAAGACAGGTTGGTAATAACAGCATTTATGTGACTCGGGGGTTAGTGACACAGCTACCGTATTCTCTCTTCTACATACCTGCTGGGAACTTGCTAAGGCCTATAATCGCGCTGGCAAGGTCGAAGACGTGCCTAGCCTGAAGGCTCTTTCTCTCTTGGATCTCTGCCATCTAACTAGTTAACATTGGTAACTTAAGATTATGTAATTGTATTCGTGCGGATTTAGAAACAATCCACAACAAATTATAAAAGGAGGAGGAAAAAAGTTTTTAATTTTTACGAAACTTATTACTCCTTTCTTTGTTTCGCAAGCGGATATTTTTTTTAACGCTCCCCTTTTTAAGAAAATCTTTTCATGCTTAGCATTCAATCGATGACGGCAGCTGTTGCCTAAATACTATGAAAATTTTATTGGGGAGAGCGTCCCAGTGTTGTATGGCTAGAAACAATCAACCACTTAACAAGATGAAGAAAGTGTGTCGGTTTTGTTTTGATCAATGGCCAGAAATGCTAAGCTAATACCGTAGGCGGGGGTGGGACGGGGGTTCGGGTCGACGATGCCACCATCAGAGCAGCACCTAGATGTCTTGTCTACGTACTATTCTGAGAAATCTGTCGATCGATGAGAGCGAAGTAAGCAGCCGACTAGAATATTGCCTTCTAGTTGGGGGAGTAAATGTTTAGTAGTAACGTTTTGCTCCATTATAAGTCCCGATGCGCGCTTTGGTCTCGACACATTCTCCGGTTACTTAAATATAATCGAAGCTAGCGGACGGGACCTGATTTGTATCCTGTCTTTGCTCGCGGTCTATCCCAAGCGTGAAATCAGATTGTTCTGTGACCTTCGACTTGATAAATGTCATACGATACGTTGTGGTTCACTTATAAATTATGGATGTTACCTTCTTCGGTTACTCGTCTATTGTTACATGGTGGAGTGTAGTAAATTCTCCTTTGCCATACGTGTGAAGATCGGTGAATCAATAATGGAGTTACTATAAAGAGAGCGTGATTATAATCGTTAGAGACAAACCAAAGCAATCTCGTTACCAAGGTGACGACAAACATTCTCGCCAAACAATATCTCCCTCCTGCTTGGACGATCCAACGTGTAACTATCAACATTCATACCTATTATTTAACCAGATTAGGTGTGTTTTATATTAATAAGTTGAGTGTAGAAGTTAGAAAGTACTAAAAGTAGTAACCGCTTAAAATAGGTTACGATTTGCGTTACGATTTATAAACAATGTGTAGCTTCTAGAATGCTAGCCGAAGATTTAAATAATACATTAACCATTTCAATGAATCCGAAAGTTCGCTTTTAATTTAATCACAAATTTCTTTAATGAAATTAATTAAATCTTATTATAATGAATAAAGAACTTTTGTAGAAGGAAGATTTAGATCTTAAGACAAACTTTCCTAAAGTATCAACTTCTCGTTACTTAATTTTATTAGTATTGTTACTAATATTAGCTACGTAAGTTAATTTTCAAAATTTCTTGGAATTTTTAGCCAATTTATTTAAAATTCACGATAAAATGTAACAAAATCGTTTAAATTCTCGTATAACGCGCACCGAGTCCTCGACGTAATCACTTTCTTTAATCAACTAATTATTTATTAATATCTCTAACTAAAATAAACATTTTATAGATTATAAGATTAATTGTATAAACATTACCGGTTTTTTTCGTACAATTAAGACGTTTGGCGCTATCTTTTAGTCTTAAAATAATTTTTTAGTTATTTTTATTTCATTAATAACTTCATTTATCTGTTTAGCTACGATTATACGAGTTAATTTTAACAATCAATAGATTTTCTATCGCTCGAAACAATTTCAAAGTCGAGTGATGAAAAGGGGTAAGTGGTGAAGTGTCCATAATCCAGTCTTGTTCTGTCAGTCAATGAGATAGTGGAGTAACACGCCGCTCTCTCCAAACCTGTCAGGTTTCGTGACCTTGATGAAGTGATGCTTTGGTCCACCCACCCCGTTAATTGTCTTCCCTCATTTGCCTTTTATCTTATATAAGTCCTGTTCTGATTGACTGATTCGGATTGTTGAGCCTTCTCGGATAACCGAAAACGGTTACGTAAAAAAGAAAGAGAAAGAAATTTGATCTTTTGTCACCGCACTACTTAACGAGGTTCCTTTAGTGAAAGAAGTCGTGTGAAAAGTCTTCCTTTTTTTCCCCTTCTTCTTCTTTTCTTGTACTTACTTGAGGACCGTTTTGTAAAGGACGAAAATTAGGTTAATCTAGTGAAGTCCTCCAAATTAGTTATGAGTAATCGAGAAGGAAAAATCTCGATCCAGCTTAACTTAAGCGATTAAAAAAGTTGTATAGAAATATTTGTTTTCTCTGAATTTTTAAAGAATATTTGCTAAATTAACTAGAATATCCCTCAATTTATAGAGACATAATGATGATGAGATATTCAAATTAAAAAAAAAAAAAAGGCAAATATTGATGTAAGTCATACGAATCGCATTTCTGAATTTCAAGATAAAATTTACCTAAACTTTCAGAAAGATAATGAAACATTATTTTTACATTCCTCAAAAAGATTCCTGAAATATTATCATATAAATTTCATTAATAAACTGCAAAAATATGAAATTTTCTAATTGTAATCTGTAAAAAGTCGGTTAATTTACAAAAAGCTTCAATTATTTTCGATAACGATTTTGTGTTTCGATGAAATTTATATTATTATTATAAAGTGAGTAAGAAGGAAAACTTTGGCATGTTTCAACATAGAACAATCACAATTTATTATTTAGCAATCTCATACCTTTGAAATTCATTAAATTTCGCCATAAACTTTCCTCTAAACTTTGATCTTTTGGAATCTTTACAGAAAAATTTTCAACAGAAAAATTATGCATCAAAACATTTTAAAATCCCTCGCGATTCTTCGAGTAAATCAAATTCTGCAACTAAAAATTCGGGGATGATCCAAGATTTCGTCATTAACGATCCGATATAAAACCTGAAACAACTTAACAAAATTCTCATATTTAAACAAAAAGTACTTAAAAACCTTAAAATTTAACACATAATTTCGAAGTTATGCATAAAATTTAAGCGTAAACATAATTTTGAAGAGTGCAAACTCAATAAAATGCGATTAAGACATTAGACACTAAAACAAAGTTATCCTTTATAAAAGGTGCGCTATTAATAGTAAATTTTGCTGTTTAAAACAGATTAATTGTTGAAATAAATAAAAAGGGAAGTCGTATAAATAAATTATTAGAGTATCTTTCTTTAAAGTAACATTTTAGTAGCTAAAAATTCAGCTTAGTAGAGATTAAGATATTTATCGTCGTTCTCCGTTAATAAGTAGCATTTATTAACAACTATTGAATTTTATTAAATGTCTTTTGGTGTATAAGCTACTTAAAAAGCTTATAAATAAACATAAAAATGACTTTTCTCGATTGTTACAACAAGCGCTTAATTTTAATGTGAAGGAATTTAAAGGGAAAGAACTTTTTTTTTTTTTATTTTGTTTTGATGCCGTAACAATAAACTTCTTTCGCATAATTTACTATGAAGTAAGTTAACTTGCCGAGCGTTTTATACGCTATAAAATTAAATTTGATGACAGAAAAATAAATTTCACTTAATAAAATTAATAGTAAATAAAAGTTGAATTTTCATTTTTGTTTACTTCTTCGTTAATTTCCTCTGCGCTAGATGGCGATACGATCGGGGATGAGTTTTAAAATATTGTTATAATATAAATATTATTTACTTAACAATTGTTTTTTTTTCTTTAAGTAAATTAGGTTTATTTAAATAAAGGAAAAACGCGAAGGCTAATAGAATGGAGGTCGAAAATTTCAATATAAACCGTTTAAAACGTGTTGCGTTATATATTTTTTCGCTTAGATCAAACGGCTATTGCGTGCGGAAAAATATTCGCTTTGCACGGAAATTATAGTATTTACTATATAACCGGGAATGTTTTCATCTGTAAAATATAACACGTATCAATTGAATTTTCTTCCTGTTATCGCTTCTTTTTTTAAACCCTCGATAAATCGGATTTTTTTTTTTTACCTCTTTTATTTAAGTAAAGCTCTTTGAGTGTGAAAATGCAAGGTTGCAACGGGAGATGGTACAATGTACCGCCGACTCAGATTACAGATCTAACAATACTTTCACACACCCAACAACACAACTTAACCTTACCTGATACAATTAAGGGGAATCCAGTCCTAGAAGGGCAATTTAGTCTTGCGTGGAAGAGTTCATTGTTTCTCCTTGATCAAATCTCTGTATTCGAGGGGAGAGAAGGGTGGGAACACTAACTCTTTCTGTTTGGACGTGCGAAATGACCCACCCTCTATGACCCCTGAATTCCACAGCAACCCCCGTAGAAGATAATGAGCGTGTAGGTCATTCACACTAAGCTAAACAGGTAGAGCGCAGCGGGATGAGGCTGGACTCCTCCTTTTCTCCCGACCGTTCCCCCCCGTTCTGGGTGAGTGCTTCTACTTCGTAAGTAACCTTGATGACTTAAACAAGGACGAAACAAGAAGCTTTGATTTGACCACCGTATAAATTTTATTTTAAAAAATAAATAAATAACAATAATCGTAAGGTTTCCTCCAAATTATATCCATGTAAAGTTTAGTAGGTCTTACAATCTGCTATTTAAAAATATCTCTGCACGTCGCTCTCTAAAGAAGTTACATCTAGTTATAGTTAGGCGTTACTTATGCAAATCACATCCTGTAATTTCTTTTTACGTCCTGAATAGGAATTGATACTTATTCAGGTTACAGACGGTCGTAGAGAAGTTCTAAAATGATGTTCTTGTAGTCAGTCAATTTCGGATTTTTGTAAACAATAAAAAAAAAAAGCGCAGAACAAGTACTGTACATATCTTCCTGAAAAATCAAGACTTACAAATCTGAGATTTATGATAACTAGTAATATATCTACATAAAGGCTGACAAACGGGCCTAAGGGCTATATAGTAAAGGCCGAAATTTATTATTATTATTGATATAATCTGTTAGTATTTCCGGTTTATTGGCATCTGTTTCAAACAACACCTGTTTTTAAAGATGTGCAAGGCAAACACCTGTTAACATAAAAAATATATCCTAATAGTTAATTTCTAGATATAAATGCTTATTTCAAATCTCGTGTTAGACAATAGAATCTGATTTAAGCTCTAAAACTTTCTTAAAAAAAGCCCCATTCGATGGAAGATTTTTTCCTCCATTTGCTTTAACTCAAAACACATTTTCACTTCAAAATGCTAACCTATTTTAAAGTTTTAACCTAGTTTGCGTTTAATGTATTCGAATTTACCTTGAAGAAGACAATGAAAAAAGATATAAGTTATCTTATAAGAGGATAAAAAAGAAAAAAACAATTCTTATGATCTAATGAGAAATTTATTTTTGTTGTTTAAGAAGCAAACAAACCAAGAATCATGTTAGTCGTTATTAAAAACATTACCAAAATTTGCTTTCCTTCCCCGAGTTTGTTTTGTAGATAAACAAGTAAAGTTGTAACTCACTTGAGCATTCGTCTTAACTTTCAATTTTGCTAATGGATTCATTGTACCATAATACGTGATTTGCAGACGTTACGAGAGTCACGGTGACTGAAGTAGTTTGGACTTTGTCTTTTCCAACACTTCACCTTTGCCAGATGAAGTCTTTGAATTACTTACTTCCGCATATAGAAAACTAAACAATTGTGTTTCGATTTTTCTATACTTATCATCTCTACGCAGAAATACACAATAAATTCTAAGATGTTTTAGATACAGCAGCAAACCTATAAATATCACACTCGAAGATAAAATAATCGAGTTTCTAACGTAAATACGAATTCGAAACGAAGGTATAAATTTAGCAAAACAATTATTTGCAAATTTAGTTTTTAATTTCATAATTAAGCCCAGAAACGTGTATAAAATCGTCACGTACGAGTTTACAACAAAGTGAAAAATTCGCTCGAACGTTCGAAATGTCGGATGCGTATATTGTCGCAACACGTACGCATTTCACTTACGCACCCTATAGAACGATTTCGACATCTTTTTTTGACGTCAGAACACCTGGAATGTTTTGCAGAACACAGAGAACAGATGGTTGTCTTAAAGCTGATTGCGGGTAGGCAATAGGCATGACCTCGGACAATGACAGACTTTTACAGGTAATATTATTCGCTATTAAACGGATCATCGATTGCACAGATTTTTTTTTCTTTTTGTATAAATTTATTTTTAAGAGTAAAGCGTAATTATTAAATTAATATTTTAAAATAGGTTTAAAAAAAAATAATAAAAACTGACTAGTCGCTATACTCATTAGTGATAATCCCGACCTCTTGTGGATGAATTGTTAATTTAAATATTTTTAATCCCGATATATTGTTTACAAAAAGACAAATCTTTAACTAAACTCATTATAATGATACTTAAATTTTATAAACACAGTAATTAACAGTTTTATAAAGGCATAATATAAATATTTTATGAAAGTTACATTTAAATAACAAAGAAAAAAATTGCGAATATACTTTTCGTAATTAATACGTATGACGTTAAATAGTGTCAAATTGCTAAACGACTTATGATTATTAAGGAATATTCTTTTTTTTTTTTTTAATTTTGCAACGTTTTTATTTCTGTGCAAAAGCTCGTGTATATTGTCGTAAAATCATGAATAATTACTTCTAAGTGTCGCTTAATAAATTCACGAAGCGTGAAGATCGCGGACAAGATTGCGGATTTTTAGCTCGCTACCGGATGACCAGTTGATGTCGTTACTTTTTATCTACAGTGGACAGATTTCCTGTCTACTTCGGTATAAATCCTTGTTATTCTTTTACGATTAATAAATATATTAAATTAATATCCTGAAACAATTAATAATTATTTTAAAGAGTAATTTTGTGTCAGTCGGCTTGACGGACGGATAATTTAATCATTTGTTAGCCGGACATCAATTCTCTTCTTTAGAATAAATATTTTTCGAATTTTGTCCTTGACAACTGTTTACTTACGTAAAGCTATTTGGCAAAACTGCAATTATAGGTAGTTTCTTTGTTTTTTTGGCTTTAGATATATGTTTTCTGTATTAATACACACAGAAAAAAACATTTTGCAATTCTTATAAAAAGTTATTTTTAGTAATAGAAATTCGAACAAAGTTACTGCCTAATTTAATATACATTTTTTGGCCATGCGAAAATTATTATACGTTTTGAAAATTGTAATAATAAAATGCGTGTAGCCGTAATACGTCATATTAATATTCATCATCATTGCAAAATAAAGGGTGTATATATATATATATATTGTTTGCGATAAAAAAAATAATTCTATAAATATTTTGATATTTTTAATAAAACATTATAATTAAATCATGCTTTGTAATTAATTTTTAAAAACATTTCTGCCGGTTTCTTCGTATCTCCCTCTGGTGTTGAATTTGCGATGCTATTTTTAATATTAATAATTAAAATATTTCCGAATAAATTTATTTAATAAATATATTTAATTTACATTTGTAATCTTAAACTGAATTTTAAAAACGGATAAAGTGGGTGCTAAGTGGGCGAACTTTTCCTTGTTTTTTTTTAAAGTCTTAATATCGAAATTTTTAACACGCCTACGTATTTATATACCATTATATACAATCTCGTATCAGTCTCGCTTGTAAACCAACGTAATTAAGGCGAGTACAATATATGTTTATTTAATGTATAGTTTTTATTTATTAATTATAATTTTCATTAATTTAGAATAATTTAATTGTAAACGAGTAATAAAATCCTAATTTCTCATTTTTAAATTCCGTAATGAAAATATACGAATGGTAATAAACTTTTAATTTAATACGTCACAAGAGGGCGCTATGGTTTTAATATATAGTTTAAATATTTAAACTTTATAGTTAAATAATTGTTAAAATTTATGTATTTAAAGACAAATAAATAATATATATTTAATAAAATTAAATATCCAAAAATTTAAATGAGATAAAGAATTACTTTTATTCGTTAAGGTCAAAGGTGACGCATAATCACATTCTGCGTCACCTTTGACCTTCCTCCTATTATAACGGTTATTAAACTATGTAATTGAGTTTCCTATGATTCGCAAATTTTTTTCTGACATAAAAACACATTTCACATAAATTTACCAAACGGAAATTATGGAAAAAAATTAAGAGAAAAAATTATTAAATTCAAGGAATATTTTTAAAAGAGAAAACAAATTCAAACTGATTTTTCACTGACTCATTCAATGCAGCTCAATAAAATTTTTTATTTTTAATGTTTTCAGAATGTGTGTGAGAAGTAAACAGGCTTTTAAAATTCTTAAAAGTCTTTAATATATGAAAGTAGAATAAAAATACAAACAAAAATATGAGTTTTTCTTTTTTATAAATCAATATTTTTAAATATTCAAGAACATTTCTTGAATTTTATCATATTAAAACTATTTTTGAAGTTATAAATTTGAGAGAGATAAATACTTCTTAATCACTTTTATTTTATTTTATTTTTTTTTACTAAAATACAAATTTACCTTATTTAGGTTTTGCTTTTATGCTTTAGTAGAAAAAGAGCAAGATTTTAAAATGAATTATGCATTTCATAGGGATTTTAATATAGGAAAAGCATCTAATCTCGAGGAAATTTCACGAAAGAACAAGAATAATAAGTAATAAAATTTTAAAAGAAAAGTTTAAAGGAATTAGTTATTTTTCACTGATATCTAATTAAAAGAAAGTTGCTAAGGTATTATTTTTTGTTCATTGCAGAATTAAGTTATCTAAGAAGCTGTATAAAGAAAAAAAATAAGAAAAGATTGATGTTAAAATTAAAAGTTTTGCCAGAATATCCAAAATATTTTTTGCATTTAAAAAATTTTGTCTTGTTCTAATACCTCTTGTCTAGTACAATCTTTTGTAATTGCTGAAAAGAACAAAATGTTTTTCTTTACTATTGTTGATGTTTTTAAATTCAATCCAAAAGACTTTTTGCACCTTTTGCATTTTATTTTCCTCTCCTCTTGTTTTTATGTTGTTTATACCACATTAGTTTAACTAACTCTTTATAAACCATCCATCACAAATTCCTAATAATAATGTAGATTCTTTATAGAAAAATTTTAAAATGTTGGTACTTCAATACAATAAAAACCTAAATAATCATTGTTATTTTACTTTTTGGTTGTTATTTTAATTTTTACTTTTTATAATTTAAGTTTTCAATTAGTTTTACCTTTTACTTATNTAAAGGGGCAATAAATGTATTTGTTAATAATAAATGATAAATAATGAATTAATAATGTATATTGTTTGCATTTAGATTTATTGAGAATAAAATTGATGTGCTAGAAATGAATTTTGATATAGTTTATATATTTTAACATTTACTAAACATCATTTTAATTATAGATATCCCCTGAAGAGTCAAATGTCTATTTATGATATTTATAGCTTCATTATCAACTTTAAATTTGCTTTATCTCTACTTGTAAAGGGGCAATAAATGTATTTGTTAATAATAAATGATAAATAATGAATTAATAATGTATATTGTTTGCATTTAGATTTATTGAGAATAAAATTGATGTGCTAGAAATGAATTTTGATATAGTTTATATATTTTAACATTTACTAAACATCATTTTAATTTTAGGTTATTATCTTTGATTTTATTTTTTCCTTGTGTAGATATGGTCCCAATCCAACCACAATGAACACTGGTATGAGTGGGTCAATGCCAACACCAGGCCATAATGGAGCTGGAGATTTTCAATCTCCTCCAAATGCTCTTAGTGCTGCAGCTTTAGTAGCTGCTGCTGCTACAGCTACTGCAACTGCTACAGCTAGTGTTGTTGCATTACAAGAACGGCAACAACAAGAAGTTGCAATGAATAGTCAATACGGACAGGTATGCATTTTAAATCATTTTAAATGTAGAAGTGACAATGATTTATTTAACTAGATTCTAATTTCTATTAATTATAAATATATAGAAAAAATTATTTCTGATTTTATGATGCACACAGTTGATATTTACCAAACAAATAATATTCATTAGGAAATAAATGTTTCTATATATATTATAATATAAAATACAAAATAAAAATGTATTTATTGTATACTTTTATGAGATATATCTACATTCTTCCAAATTTTGAAAATTTATTACAGTTGCTTGTTCATTTAAGTGCAGTGAATGTATTAAATATAAATTCAATAAAATACTGTACACACATATTTGTATTATATATATTAGAATGAAAAAATTAAAGACTATATATATAATCTTTAAATAATATATATATTAGCTTCAATTTTTGTATTCTAACATTAAGAAACAAAAATAATTCTCTTTAATTACATATGAGATATTAAAAATGTATATTTTCAAATTTACTTTTAAATATTTTCATATTTTTCAAATATAAATATTATATTGTAATGTGAACCCTTTGTACTTTTTCCCATCATTATTTAATATAAAACTGGGGGAGTCAGGTTAATATAATTACTTGACTACTGTAAGATGATGATGGAAAGGAATCAATTTAACTTACAGTTAAGTTCTGATTTTTTCATCTTACTCAATGCAGTTATCAGGTTCACTCAACATTCATTTCAATGGATACTCCTGTCCATCCAGGAAGTAAAGGTGGTTAGAGTGTGGTATTGATCATACCACCTTCTACTGCCATTTGGTTGCAGCAGATGACATTAGAAAACACATACCAGAGAAAAGCAGTGAGATTGTACATACTTTGCTCAATAAGTTAGAAAGGATTTCAAACAATGTATCTCTACTATATTACTTTTCACTATATTTAGGTTTCATTTATATTTTTAACTAATATATATGTTTATTCTAATTTTATTTTGTAAGTTAATTTTAACTTTATTATTTTAAGAAAAAATTTTGAAATAATAAATGATTTCATAAATAAATATTTTATGAAAGTTACATTTAAATAACAAAGAAAAAAAAAATTGCGAATATACTTTTCGTAATTAATACGTATGACGTTAAATAGTGTCAAATTGCTAAACGACTTATGATTATTAAGGAATATTCTTTTTTTTTTTTTTAATTTTGCAACGTTTTTATTTCTGTGCAAAAGCTCGTGTATATTGTCGTAAAATCATAAATAATTACTTCTAAGTGTCGCTTAATAAATTCACGAAGCGTGAAGATCGCGGACAAGATTGCGGATTTTTAGCTCGCTACCGGATGACCAGTTGATGTCGTTACTTTTTATCTACAGTGGACAGATTTCCTGTCTACTTCGGTATAAATCCTTGTTATTCTTTTACGATTAATAAATATATTAAATTAATATCCTGAAACAATTAATAATTATTTTAAAGAGTAATTTTGTGTCAGTCGGCTTGACGGACGGATAATTTAATCATTTGTTAGCCGGACATCAATTCTCTTCTTTAGAATAAATATTTTTCGAATTTTGTCCTTGACAACTGTTTACTTACGTAAAGCTATTTGGCAAAACTGCAATTATAGGTAGTTTCTTTGTTTTTTTGGCTTTAGATATATGTTTTCTGTATTAATACACAGAAAAAAACATTTTGCAATTCTTATAAAAAGTTATTTTTAGTAATAGAAATTCGAACAAAGTTACTGCCTAATTTAATATACATTTTTTGGCCATGCGAAAATTATTATACGTTTTGAAAATTGTAATAATAAAATGCGTGTAGCCGTAATACGTCATATTAATATTCATCATCATTGCAAAATAAAGGGTGTATATATATATATATATTGTTTGCGATAAAAAAAATAATTCTATAAATATTTTGATATTTTTAATAAAACATTATAATTAAATCATGCTTTGTAATTAATTTTTAAAAACATTTCTGCCGGTTTCTTCGTATCTCCCTCTGGTGTTGAATTTGCGATGCTATTTTTAATATTAATAATTAAAATATTTCCGAATAAATTTATTTAATAAATATATTTAATTTACATTTGTAATCTTAAACTGAATTTAAAAAACGGATAAAGTGGGTGCTAAGTGGGCGAACTTTTCCTTGTTTTTTTTTAAAGTCTTAATATCGAAATTTTTAACACGCCTACGTATTTATATACCATTATATACAATCTCGTATCAGTCTCGCTTGTAAACCAACGTAATTAAGGCGAGTACAATATATGTTTATTTAATGTATAGTTTTTATTTATTAATTATAATTTTCATTAATTTAGAATAATTTAATTGTAAACGAGTAATAAAATCCTAATTTCTCATTTTTAAATTCCGTAATGAAAATATACGAATGGTAATAAACTTTTAATTTAATACGTCACAAGAGGGCGCTATGGTTTTAATATATAGTTTAAATATTTAAACTTTATAGTTAAATAATTGTTAAAATTTATGTATTTAAAGACAAATAAATAATATATATTTAATAAAATTAAATATCCAAAAATTTAAATGAGATAAAGAATTACTTTTATTCGTTAAGGTCAAAGGTGACGCATAATCACATTCTGCGTCACCTTTGACCTNATCTAGTATTATGTTTTAAATTAAAAACGTAGTTTCTAACATTCAAACTAAAATGTGTTTATTGTTTGTCATTTATATAGTTCAAATTTTGATTTGATTTATTTTCTTTTTTTTATAAATAATTCAAACATATATACATAATTTTTCATTATTGAACTAGTACAAAAGAAAATTTTTGATTTATGCATAATTTATATAAAATTTCATGAATAAAAACTTTTAAATTTGTAAAGATGGTGAATTTTAATCCATATAAACAAATGCTTGGTTGAAAATCTAATTTAAGAAAGTTTATAGCAAATTGTGTTTTATCTACAGTTCATTATCTAATAAAAATGCATCTTCACATAATAACATGGTTTAAATAGCTAAAGTTTTTTAATAAAATTTTTCTTTTAGAATATACAAGGTCAGCAATTTCCTGTGGGATATGGTCCACCAACTTCTCAACGAATGCCATCAAGCCCAGGAATGAACAATCCCTTAGCTAATCCTATGGGAAGCCATATGAACTCCATGACTGGACAGATGCCTGGCAGTATGGGTTCTGTGAATAATTCTATGATGAACATGCCTAATTCTATGACATCGATGGGTTCCATAAATTCAGCAATGTCAATGAATGGTCCAATGGGTATGAATAGTGCTATGAACAAGTCTAGTATGCAGAACATGCAAGCAATGACTGGTCCCAGTCATCCAAATGTATATTCTACAGGGACACCTAGTCCTCAAGGCCGAAGCCGTTCAACTCCTTATCCAAATCCACAGAAGAGGCCAAATCAGTACAATCTTATGGTACAACAATATGGTGCTGGTGTACAGCCATATAATCCAGCACAGCAAAATTATAATCCTGCTCAGGTATTTCAAATCTAACTTTATATAATTATTTTTATTTTATAAATATTTCTTAATTAAATTTTAAAATAAAAATGTTATTCAGAATTAATACAAAATTGTTTTATATTATCTGTTTTCTTTTGTTATCTATGTAATTTTGAAATAATCATAAGAAAAACTTATACATCTAATGATATTATACTATTGTTTTCTTTTTTTTGTGTGTCTAAAGCACCCATTCAAGAAACAGATCAAATATTAATTTAATTAAACATATACAGAAATTTATTAGCAATTGGTTGATCACTTTAACATTTTCTGTTAAATGTTGTTCCTACAATTTTTGAATTGTATGAAAAAATTCTGATCAGTGTCTTAAAAAATATTCATAAGAATCTTACATTTAAAAAAGTATAAATTAAGTAAAACTATGATTTCAAGATAAATTTAAGTTAGAATCTCTAATATTATTGTTAAGATGTTTAACAACAGTTTCTTCTATTTTATCTTTTTTAATCAATAATGATATTTTCTCATATTCTTGTATTTAAAAAAGTATAAATTATGTAAAACTATGATTTCAAGATAAATTTAAGTTAGAATCTCTAATATTATTGTTAAGTAAAATAACAATAATTCCATAGATACCAATTTAATCTCACTCTAGTATAAAGCTTACATCCTACTTTTACATATTATTTGGATTCTTTAATTTCTAATNTAATTATGATTAATTAATTCTTTTGAAGACAAAGTCCTTTCCAAAAAAATATAGGAACCACCTATATTTTTTTGGAAAGGACTTTGTCTTCAAAAGAATTAATTAATCATAATTATCTCCATCGGACAAAAATTTACAAAAGTATTATTTATTTTGAAAAATTATAATTAAAATATCAAAAGATGTCAATTTCAATTTTAACTGTATAAATTCCTTATATAATAATTCAACATTAAAATTGTTATGATTTATTTTAGTATCCAGGTACCCAACCTCCACAATTCACAAAACAACAACAACAATATACAACCATTCAACAACAACAAATGACATCACACTCCTATCCACCTCAACAACAAATGCGGCCTTCAATGAGGTCACAGGCACCTCCTTATGGTAGTCAACCCACTCAATATTATCAACAAGCACATTTAAATGGTGCTCCTCAACAAACACCTTATGATCCTCATTACAGCACACAATATAGTCAACAAAATATGCAGGTATGATTTTAAAATCTGAATTAGAATTCAAGATTTAATAATAATTTTATCTTTAATGTTGATTTTAATTAAATTCCATTTTATTCATTTTATATTTATGATTCAATTTAATTGCAGAGGAATGTAAATTATCAACCATCACCAATACCTGGTAATCCTACACCACCTCTCACTCCTGCTTCCAATATACCTCCATATTTATCACCAAATCCAGACTTGAAGCCTACATTTCCTGATGTTAAACCACCACTGCCACCTCAAAGTAAAATTTGTGATATTTTATAAAACAATTAGAAAAATATAATTAACTTTTTAAAAATTTATCGAAAAATCATTGATGCTTTGGATAAAAAATAAGATTACCTTATTTGTTTCAGAAGACGATGAATTAAGGCTTACCTTCCCAGTTAGAGATGGAATTATCCTTGCACCTTTTCGGTTAGAACATAATCTAGCTGTAAGCAATCATGTCTTCCATCTAAAGCCATCTGTTCATCAAACATTAATGTGGAGAACAGATCTTGAATTGCAATTAAAATGTTTTCACCATGAGGATCGTCAAATGAATACCAATTGGCCTGCCTCTGTACAAGTTTCTGTTAATGCTACACCTTTAAGCATTGATCGAGGTGAAAACAAAGCTTCTCATAGGCCTCTGTATTTGAAAGAGGTCTGTCAACCAGGTCGAAATACGATACAGATTACAGTAACTGCATGCTGTTGCGTAAGTGTAAATATAATATTCAAATTGAAGTTAAAATAAAAATTTATTCTGATTAAATTATTTTATTTCTTTGTCTAATTATTATAAGTCAATAATGAAGTGTTTTTTAAGAATTTTATTATTTCAAAGAAGAGATTTCTCTTCTTTAAAATAATGAAATCTTAAAAACCACTTTTCATTATTGATAGATTTAATTAAGTTATGGTCTAGTCAAATATATTTTAATTTTACAATAGCATTATGATGCAAATCTGCTGTAACATAATTAAAATAATTATTTATCTCTTGTTTGATATCTACACAAGAATCTGATGTTATCACTGATTATATTCATTTACCTGAGTAAGAATATGAAACAAATAATTAACAATAATTGATAACTGTAATTTTAAATATTATAAACAACATAAAATTATTAATTTTACCAGTGTTAACAACGATAATATTTCAAAATTCTGAAACTTATTGTTGAATATTATAATAAGTAAACTAGAATACATTAAAAAAATGTAAATAAAATGAAGTTTTACAACGGAAAAATGTTTTTGAAATTTTAAATAAATTCAACATTAAACAGAACATGCTCAGCAAATAATTAACTTATCACACTACACGTTTTTTTACTGAGATAGTTTTATTGAAAAACTAATGTTTTTGGCCTACTCTATAGGCCTTCCTCAGGCTTATCAATAGAAAAAAGAACATTGGCGTTCCATTAAATAGAATACATAAATTTAAATACAAAAATAATAATGGAAAAAAACAAGAAAATAACTGAAAAAAAAATAAATAAATTCAACATTGATATTCAAACTATTATTTTCTTTCACTAATACAGATTGTAATAACACTGAGTTTTGATACTCAAAATATAGTTATTTCAGAATTTTATAGCAAATATGCACCCTATATTAATTTGTATGATTTCTACAGCCATAGTTATGAGAATTAACAAAACATTTTATACACCAAATTATTTTTTGTAAGTTTATTATCAATTTTTTTGAAGATTATTGATATATATCAATTTTACTCAAAAATCAGAGATTAAATTACATATTTTCATATTTACAGTCCCATTTATTCCTGTTACAACTTGTTCATCGACCAACAGTACGATCTGTTCTCCAAGGATTATTAAGAAAACGTCTTTTACCAGCTGAACACTGCATCACCAAAATCAAGCGAAACTTTTCTAATGTTGCTGCATCAACAAATAGTTCAATGGGAATGGAAGATGGAGTAGAACAAACTGCCATTAAAGTATCTTTAAAATGTCCCATTACATTTAAGAGGATAACACTGCCAGCTAGAGGACAAGAATGTAAACATATACAGGTATCTTTATAACTTGCAATATTTTATATTTATATCCAGTGTTTTCTTTATTTTAAGTAACTTGAATTTATTTTAGTGTTTTGATCTTGAATCTTATCTCCAACTTAACTGTGAAAGAGGTGCTTGGAGGTGTCCAGTGTGCAAGTATGTACTTTGTTATTTTTATATTCAAATAAAAATTTAATTTTAAATATTCTAATTAATTAAAAACCATGAATTTTGAATATATATATTTTTTCTATCAGAATACAATGTTTGAATTTAATAAAATAATAATAATTATGGTATTAAAAATTGTTTTTTTCAGTAAACCAGCACTTTTAGAAGGACTGGAAGTGGACCAATATATTTGGGGTATATTGACTAATCTCAGTAATTCTGATATAGAGGAAGTAACTATTGATGCCACTGCTAGTTGGAAACCTGTACCAGTAAAAACTGTAAAAGAAGAGCACGATGGTGGTTAGTATTTTTTTAACCCATCCTGAAAACAAAATTTATTTATATTGTACTAGGGGGTTTTGCCCCCTCTGGATGTCTACAACAGCTCAACTTTTCTCTCACTTTGCACACTTATTTCCAATATAGACTTTGCTCCCTTTACTTTACCAACTCTGCTTGCTTTTCTCCCATTTCAGCCCAACCACTACCTAAATTTGCTAGTCTTTGCTTCTCCTTGGGCCAACTTTCTTCACTTCATTCCCTTTGCTTCACTGAACTGCTCCATTCACTTTGGTCATTTGTTCAAAGATTTCATGCTGATTCATTGATTCCCAGTGCCACTATTTCTATTTTGTTTTTTTTTCATATGGAAAAAATATCCTGGTGATTTTAAGCTAAGTATTTTATTGTAGATAAGGCAAATAATAATAACAATTATGTGTATATAATTTACATGTATATTCTATTCTAATTAATGATTTTTATGATGAAAACTTATTAATCAAAATTAAAAATACAAGAATTTGTTTTCCTTACTATAAATTAATAGCATAAAATATCATATTCTAGAATTTGTACAATACTATTAAAAAATTAATGATATTCACTGAAAAATTATTTATCCTAAACTTTCTTTTCTTTTTTTTCATAAATAAAGTATGTATATAATTGTAAGATTTATGGATTTTTGCATTATAATATGTTCAATTTGCATTGCATTATAATATGTTCAAAATTTCATTCATATTTCACCATATCTATTAAATACAGGTAGTTTCCATTTCAAGAGTTTCCAAGTTTATGAGTTGTTTTTTAACACCAAAAACTTAGTTGCAATAACTTGAAAAAGTGACACAGTTAGAATTCCTAACTTTTCATACACAGTATATTAAATCATCAAATAACAACACATTAGAATTTACATATAGATATTAAGCTATTGAGATGATATCTACTTAGAAGGTAAACAGTGTTAATTGTTATATCCAAGTATAAAATGATAAAAAAGAACTGTTCTGATGGTCCATTTTAATTATAGGCAAGCAATTTACTGAAAAAGTGAACTCAATATTTATAATATGTCGATTCTAATAATATATTCAAGTGGAATCGATATTTGGCATTTTGATTCTTTAATAAATAAAATTATTATTATGATAATGAGGTGAATTTCGAATCTGATTTTCTGGATCATATTTGTATACTATTTTTTTATTAATTTTTTATATATTTTGAAAATGTATTTGATAGAAATACATGAAGTAGGAAATTCTCATTTGAAATGTAAAAATTTTGCTCCGGAAAATATCAACAGCAGGGCCTGAAAAACTCTGCAGTAATACATTTATATTTTTCTATTTTTAGTGTTTCGCCTTATAACAAACTTTTTACTATTCGTTACAGAAAAGAACAAATTCTATCAAAATGTTTCACGCATTTTAACAAGAAGAAAATAAATATATTTGCATATACCTTTATTTTTATAGAAATATAGTTACGTAAGTTAGTACTGTAGTTACTATAGTTTACATATCACTATATCGGAGAAGAAAGATATTGTACTGTACTGTACATACATATTTATTCGAAAGTGTTTTAAATAATGTTTCGTGCCTGCAACAAATTTTTGATATTGATCATCATAGATAAGAACATTCGCTTGCAAATCTATATATTATCATACAGATAATTATAATGATTTAAGCTAATACATTATCTATTTATGAGCTTGCCCAAAGTTCAATTTTGTATGTTCTATCTTTAATGAAGATGAATAAACAAATATTGATATAACATATAAGCAGGAAACCCATTGGAATAATAATAATATTTGAATATTTAAATTAATTATTGAACCTGATATATTCAATCACTCTTATTAAAATTTAATGAAAATCATAAAACGATCGTTTTTATGGATATAATGAGTTCATTAAAAAGTTTTTGTTTTTATTTCTTCGAACTTTTTCGTAAACATTAAAATTATTTTATAGCAAACCGTGTAAACAGACTCCATATAATTCATATAAATTATTTTTTATTGCTTTATAGTTTAATTATCTGGACGTTTAAAACTAATCACATTATTTTTGATACTCTTTTCGCATGATAAACCCAGAAGCATATATTCCCAATTTGAAGACTGTTCGCTATAAACATCATAAAAAACATCGAGACTTGATATATTTATTTTATGCACATCAATCCTCAATATTTTCTGCAAAGTTTTTGTTGACTATTATGATTTTTTATGTATTTTTTCATTTATCTTTATTTTTCTAAGTATATAAGAGCTTCTATCTTTCTCAGTTTTTATTTACAGTTTCGAGTTTATGTAGTATTTTCTGAGAAATGGAAAGGAAACTTTAAAGTAAACAACCCATACTTTTGATTCTAACTGCAATCGTTTTGACAAAGCTGGCTATCAACAAACAGCTCATATTTCATGGTATTACATCCAAAACATTAACTAGCACCCATGGAATGGTACTCGCAGTATACGCAACAATTTTCGAAATTCCAAAAGATTTAACTAAAAAAAATAAAAGGTAATATAGTAATAATCGAATTTCTAGTAATAAAAACCATTAAGAAGCATATTTAAGTGAATTATTTTTGTTTTGTTCATTTCAAATTTATTTTTTAAATTCGAAACTTTTAAATAGAGATAATTTTTATATTTTTAAAAATAATTACAGTATATTAATTTTTCGATATTAAACTTATTTTTATTACAAGTTCGGTATTTTAATAATCAACTATTTTTACATATTTTTAAGTTTTGGTGCTTTTAATTTTATTTTTTAATTCAGCCATTTTCCATCACAATCGTTTTGTACTTTAATTAATATAGAATCTTCCTTTAGTTTTCGTTAACAAAATTACATAAATTAAAATTTTTAAAGTAATTAAAATTATAAAAAAAACATCCAAATTATTCACTCTTGTTCGAAATTATCTTCTCTTTTTTCTTTTACAAATTTTAAAATTTTAATTTAGCCAAATTCGAAGAAACCGCAAGCAGAGGACTGCTTTTTTTTAGGTATAATACATATTTGCATGTTCGTTCGGAGTTAATTTTCATAATTAATAATCTTCAAAACTACTTAATGCATCTCTATGAATTTTTGTTTATGTCTTAGAAATATCATTTCCTTCTTACTAAACTTTTACCTAAACTAAAAAATACTCCAATGATTTTCCTTTTTTATTAAATCGTATAAACACATCGCTTACTTCACCAAAAGGTACAACCTCTAAATTTATTGGCACAAGTAAGAAATTCACTGAATTTTTAAGTGTTGCAGAATGCAGCAGCATCGATCTACCGAATTCCACATCTTTTAAATTTATAAATTCTCTCAATTTTTACAAAAAAAGAGGGAAAAAAGGGAATAGTAAGGGAATAAAAAAAATATAATATAAATTTTTTATGGCTCTTTCTGAAAAATTGTCATGTTTAATCTATCGAAGAAAGCAACTAATACGCTTATTGCTACAGCAACAGTACTGTACTATAAAACATTTTTTGTTATATGGCATAGAAAAAGAAAGAGAAGGTGAAGTTTCGTCTCTCTTTTATATTCCAAGAATAATGTAGAATCCGCCTACTGCCTGTTAAATTCTACCGACAACTCGCTTTTCTTCTATATAATTCCTTGTGTTTTTATGTCAGCAGTTTTAGGTTTTAACATTCAAAGTTATGGCAAGCTGTATCTGCCTTATTGTAGCTTGTTTGTTTATGTCTTCCACTTTAACTCCCATATATATATAGAGAGAGTATCAATCGATATGAGTAAATCAATATGAAGTGATACAGTAGAATCTGAGTACGAAGCAAACACGTTTTACATAAGACTGCATCAAATAATCTAAATTGCATGCAAAGTAAGAGAGGGCCAGTAAAAAAATAAGCTAGGGAATAAACAGGACAATGACCTGTAAAATGTTAAATGCAGTTTTGAGTTATTGATATGTAAGAATTTCGTCCGCCATTTTATATAAGTTAATCTTTGCCTACATTATGGAGGATTTTGTTAACATTAACAAGTTTCAAATTTTCTTCTCAAATATTTTAGATTTTATCATTTAATTTTGGCTCTTACCTTATCAATTTTTTAGAGATTAATCGGTTTAAAAGATTTTAAGGTAATATTTATATCAAAATTTATATATTTTAAAAATATAATCGTTTACATTGTGATGATAAAACGTTTTGGAAGTTAAATTCCTTATATTATTATATGTTTATAAAAAAAGAACATAAAAAACTGGAACTTTTTGTATTTAAATATTATATTTTTTCATAGAAAATTGTTTCGAGTTGCATTCGACTTTTCTTGAATAAAGCAAACCCCAGGGCTGGATAACTTTACATACGACTTTACTCGAAATAAATGTTTTGGAAGAAGCTACGTGCAGAATAAGCCAAACTTTTCTCCACTTCAGTGATTGACTGGAAGACTGTATAGTTAATTACCTCCTCGCTGAAGTAAGAAGGAGACATTCTTCCTCTTTCTGTGCACAATAAATTTGGATTTTTCTAGAAAATCCCCGACGAGATTGGATCCTTAGAGATGATGTCAGGTGAGAATAATAAGTCCCTCATTAATTTTTTTCCTCCTCTCCTAACCTCGATTCTTGATTAAAAATTTAACTTTTCTACTTTCTGACATATACGAAGACAAATCTTGATTAAGAAACGTCAGATACGTTGAAAGAAAATACAGTCATTTGTACACATGAAAATGAATAGTATTTAATAACATTTTGTCGTCATTTTTATTACATTTCAATTTTACATATTTGCATATTAATACGATCTGAATTTGAATTTTTAAAGATTTTTAAATAGTTATAAATGTCAATAATGCAGAGCGTTATAATTTTTATGTATAGACGATGATTAAAACTTATAGGAAAGAATTTTTGTAGTGTCGTAATTCATTGTAACATGAATTAAATATAGAGAAGGCTTTTATGAAATTATAATTTTATTCACAAATCTTGGCATCTTTGTC